TAGGTGTAGGGCGATAGAAAATACAGTTTGTACAGTATAAAAACCATTACACCTATGGAGACTCCCCATAAAACATGGAAACACAAGTGTGTGTGTGTGATTCATGAGAAATTTAAAGGTCATATTTAAAAAAAATACCTCAAACGTATTTATTTATTTATTTGAAAAAAAAAAAAAAAAAAAAAAAAGTGCATTTAGAATATTCATCGAATTTAAAATATAAATCCACATTCGAATGTAAAAACGTTTAGGTGTGCATCAGGCAGCTTATCAGTGGCGCACGAGATGCGATGACGATGTAAGTGTCATTGCATTTTAATGCTTTTTTTAACCTATCCAGTTGAAGCCACTAGATGGCGCTGATGCGTTGTTCATTCAAAATATTGCAGAAAAAGAGAACATCAATGCGGAGATGATGTTGTTTACATCAAAACTGAAACCAAGCCGTTGACACAGAACGCATATTTATCGCATTTTCTAGAGGGACATCTATCAGCATTGCACTCGCGTCTCGCACAAGAGAGCCACATGTTTAGAAAGCCATGTAATATTAATGCAAGTTCAACTTTTAAAAAACACGTCTCAAGACTTTATGGCGGTTTTTCGCCATTCCCACTGCATCTTGTGTTTTTAACTATGCATACATACATGATGCAGTTTTGTTTCTAATTGTTTAAGCAACTTAATTAATTATATATGTGGTTTATAAACATTATTTTAAACATTATGCACTTTTTTTTCAAAGGCAGTCGTGTTATTTTATTGCTTTGAAGAAACGTGCATTAGTAATATTTTGCTCGATGCACCCTCTTGTGGCCTCAGGAGAGAAGCCAAAAGCTTTTTCCCCCTAACTGAAATTATCCCTTTTAAATTCGAATATTGATAATATTTAAATACAAAATTCGAATTTAGTTTTTCCTAGTGCCGTTACCTGCGGCTCGGGGTTGCTGGGTCTCTGCTCCATGCTGTAGTACTTGCAGGGGTTCCACTGCACCAGCGGAGGATTCTGGGTCGGCTGCGGTCCGTTCGGGACGCTGAGCTGCATTACCATCACACCAGGACCAGGAGGAGGAACCCCTACAACACATCCACATCAACGGGTCAGTCACTCCCAATACAAAATAAACCAGACTGAGAGATATGATAACTAATGCAACCTACTGCTCAATGAGTTAAATACTGGTAAGTTTATTGGGCTGATACTGCAGATATTTACTGATGCACGATGGGTAAATCATGTGCAAATTGTATTTTATATAACGGTTTATATGTATCATAACCGATCATGGTATTCAGTATTATTTTAGTATTGAATATAGTATTAGTATAGTATTTTATATAGTGCTGTCAAACGATTAATCGCATCCAAAATAAGTTTTTGTTTACATAATATATGTATGTGTACTGTGTTTATTTATTATGTATATATAAATACACACACACACACACATTCAGTATATATATTGAAAATATTTACATGTATATACATTTATATATTTATATTATATATAAATATATGAACATAACATTTTCTTAAATATATACATTCATGTGTTTGTATTTATATATACATAATAAATATACACAGTACACACATTATGTAAACGAAAACTTTTGTTTTGGATGTGATTAGCACTAATTTTATACTATTAGAGTATTTATACATTTCTTTATTTATACTTTCAATTTTATTTTTATTATTTCTATTTAACTTAAGTTTTTTTTAATTTAGTTTTAGCTTTACTTAAACACATTTAACTTAGTTGCCAATGCAACATTTTGAAACATTTTGCTTTTCATCAATATTTGTATTTTATTTTACCTTCGTTTCAAATAACGACAGGTATAAATGTTATATACATATATATATCAGCTGTAGTTAACAGTAGCAGGGCTGTAGCTGCTGTGGGTTGTGTTTGTGTTTAACCTGAATACTGCTGTTGCATTGGCTGTGGGCTGCAGGGTGAGGCAGACTGGGTCATCTGGTACTGATCTGAACTGGGAGGCTGCAAGTAACCCACAGACGGACTGCAACACACAAAAGCACACGGTTAAACAGAACTTAGCAAAAAAACAACAACACAACATCAAAACATAAATTTACACTTGTCACTCTATATCAGAGTTTTGCTTCAACCCTAATCAAACACACCTGAACAAGCCAATCAAGGTCTGAAGGGTTACTAGAAAGCTACAGGCAGGCGAGTTTTAATTAGGGTTGGAGCTGTACTCTGCAGGGCTGCGGCTCTCCAGGACCGGAGTTCGCCACCGCTGCTCTATATGTTTCTCCATTGTAGTTAATGCACATTTTCTTGCTGAATAAAACAATTATGCGCCTCAATTAAGATCATAAGTTTTTATGCGCACTTTAAGATTTTATGTGCATCTTGCACAAAAAAAAATGCAATATCCCACAATACTCGAAGCAATACATGGATAGAAACACAGCTATTGAAGCTACTTAGGAGATTTCTAATCATATTACTAATAATAATTTTAAATCATGTATTTAAAGTAGAATTTAGCATAAACACAACATCAAAACATGCATTTACACTAAATATAAAACATTAATAAAACAAACAAAAACACGTGTCACTATGCGTTTCTCTATAGTAGTTTATGCATGTTTTCTCATCTCAAGTTTTTATGCACATTTTATGCACATCTTGGCATTTCCATTCAGAGTTTTTTAAAGCAGCATCTCAAAATTCACAAAAAAAAAAAAAAAACGTGGATGGAAACAGCTATTGAAGCTACTTGAAGGAGATATTTCTAATAACAGATTAAATAATGTATTTAAATAATCAGAGCAGAATTAGCACAAAAACAATAATACAGCATCAAACTTAAATTTACTCTAAGTATAACTAATAACACAAACAAAAACACGTTAATGCAACTGAAAGGATATGATATTATGCAATAAATTTTTTTTTTTTACAAAATAAATACATCAATGTTTTATATCTGAGGAACCCAAACAGATAATTTAGTTTTGTTCATTAAGTTTTGTGTCAAGTTAGAGTCGATACTCAGTTGCATACAGTAGTAAAACTGCACATTCTTCCAGCACTTCTGACATTATCTGACAGTAAACACGTGACGCGCGTGCTGAGATATTAGCGTGTGTGTACCTTGTGCTGTTCTGTTGTGTGGGCGTCAGTACGCTGTAGTAGACAGGCATGGGTGCCGCGGTCGGCATGGCTGCCTGTACAGACTGACTGGCGGGAACCATGACGGGCTGCTGGTACTGCTGCTGCACCACAGACTGACTCTCATTAGCTACAGGCACCTGCAGCACAGAAGGAGCGGTTAGAGAGAGAGAGAGAGAGAGAGAGAGAGACACACACACACACACACTCACTCACTCACTCACTCACTCACTCACTCACTCACTCAAACACACTCGCTCATTCTTACACTCACACACTCTCGCACACTCACTCATTCACACACACACACACACTCGCTCACTCTTACACTCACTCACTCACACCCTCACACACACACTCAAACACACTCGCTCATTCTTACACTCACACACTCTTGCACACTCACAGTCCTTCAGTCATATAAAATTATTAATGATTTATGATTTTTAAATCCTCCGGGTCGTTTGAGAAGTTCAGTTCACACACTCACTCGCTCACTCTCACACACACACACACACTCACTCGCACACTCTCACACACACACTCACTCGCACACACTCACTCACTCACTCCCTCGCACACTCACTCCCTCGCACACTCACTCACTCGCACACTCACTCACTCGCACACTCACTCACTCGCACACTTACACTGACACTCACACTCTCACTCTGACACTCACACTCTGACACACTCACACACACACTCACAAACTCACTCTCTCTCTCACACACAAACTCACACACACACACACACACCTGATAGGAGGGCATGGGTGGGTACTGGACCATCATGCCCGGCATCTGTCCATTCATGGCCGTGCGCTGTGTGTTCATCATACTGGCGCTCTGAGGCTGCTGGACTCCCATCATGCCCTGGTACGCAGGCTGCTGATTGGTCATCATGGGCTGGAGAGGAGCTAATCATGCAACACAAAAGCACATCAAACTTCAATCGCTCATCGTGAGAGAGCCGTTCAGAGCTTTAATAGTCAGTTTAATATGAGACATCAATATAAGAGAGCATAAAAATGACAGTCAGCAGAGACAGACGCACACAGAAGTACGTTTCCTCCACGTAAGAAAGAAAAAGCATGCTTTGGTAAATCAAAATAATTACTTTATTTCACAAAGTCAAAGTTAAGACAAAAAAAAAAATTTTTAATCTCAGAATTGACTCAGTAATTTCATAAAATTATTAAAAGTATAATTATTTTATTATTCTATATTAAAATAAAATGTTATATTTAAATGTAATTTTTTTTAATATAATTTTGACTTTTTAAACTAGTAATTTTAGTCAATTTCGACTTTTTTATGACTTAGGATGTCAATTTCAACGTGAAAATTTCAACCTTTTATGGCTTAGTATGTCAGTTTTCACATAATTATGGTATTTTAGTCTCATAATGATTCCCCCCCCCCCCCACCCAACTTGATACCTT